TTTGCAGAAAGCCCTGCCATTATCCGAACTCAAAACCAACTGAAACGAAAAACAACTCGGAAAACTTCCAAACCGGCACGCGTTAACGGCAACCGTAGCCGGCGACCATATCCGTCTGTTATACGTCACAGATGTAATAACGAAAGTTCGCTACCTCGTCGATACTGGCGCAGAAGTAAGCGTTCTCCCAGCGAATTGTAACGACCGGCTTCACGAATCAATTTTAAATTTACAGGCTGCAAACCGAAAGCCTATTGCTACATACGGTAAAACGTACGTTTACCGTAACGTGGGTTTACGCAAATCCATCCACTGGGTTTTCGTTGTTGCAGATGTTTCTATGCCAATCATCGGTATAAATCTAGTACAACACCATATTCCACTGATCGATACGCGCAAACGAAGGCTAGTAGACGGAAACAATAATTTATTTGTTTGTGTAACTTCTTTTTTGGTTGCAGATTATCTCACGTAACAGTTAGGCACACGATAGATCAATTCTATCAACAATTGATCGATAAGTATCCTGAGATATACCAAACGCAAGCGAAATTTCCATGTGTAGCCAGCAGCGTTACACATGATATAACGACTACAGGACTACCTGTATTCTCGATAGCGCACTGGCTACCGAAAAGCTGGGGTTGTCCACAAACAAATTCAAACTCATGGTAGGGTTAGGAATCATTCGCCCATGAGCATCCTCTTTGCATATGGTCCTTAAGAGGGACAGCGACGTTTGGCGTCTAACTGGCGCAGACTATTCCAGATGGCTGCCCGCTGCCACATATTCACGACTTGAGAACTAACTTGAAGAATACAGTTGTCTTTTCGAAAATCGACTTGGTTAAAGCCTACAACCAAACTCTTATGGTCGCTGACGATATTCTTAAAACCGCTATCATAAATTCTTTCAGTCTCCGCAAATTTTTGCTCATGTCCTTCTGCTTAAGAATTGCTGTCCAGACCTTCCAAAGTTTTGTAGATGACGTTTTTTGAGGTCTTAACTTTGCACATGCGTATGTTGATGACTGCTTGATAGCAAGCCTGGACAAAAAATCACATCCACAGAATCTGGACCTTGTTTTCGATTAGCTGCGAAGGCATGGCATTACTGTAAACACTCAAAAATGTCAAATCGGAACTGACTCCCTAGATGTCCTCGGACCCTTGATGGAAGCTCAAGTCATCCGATCTCTTAGAAGTAACGTGACAGACATTCTGAACTACGCGAAACCGACCACCACTAAGTAATTACACACATTTAACGGCCTTGTATATTTCTATGGACAGTTCATATCAAGCTGCTGAATACCTAAGATGATTAGACACAGAAAATGTCCCTCAGACTCCCGATGCTCGTTTCGACCATATTCATCTGGATTTAGTTGAACCTTTACCGGATTCAAATGGATACTCTTATCACTTAACGTTCGTAGACCGTACTAATTAGGACATTACTGCTGACACAGTGGTCAGCGCCGTCGTCGGACGATGGGTAACAAATATCGGTCGCCCTTAAACTATCACTGTAGTATGTAGAAGCCAGTTCGAATCTGAACCTTTCAGTTGTCTGACTACACATTTAGGAATCACATGATTCCGAACGACCACCTCCCACCCACAAGCAAACGGGTGGGTAGAACTCTTGCACCGACAGCTAAAAGCCTCACTATCAGCAATAGACGTTTCACAGTGGACAGACGCCCTCCTACTCGTCTTACTAAGTACCCGCAATTCAGTGAAAGCTGACACTGGATATACTGAGGCTCAACTCGTTTATGGAACGACACTTTGACTTTCAGGAGTATTCGTGGATCCTTCGTGGATGAACATAGATCTAGTCTCCTACAAGAACAAGCTTACAAACCGGATTGGAATCTGAGCTATTCATCAAATTGTCTTAACTTCTAATCCCTAACAGATAACATCGCACAGCATATAATCCTCAGATTAATGTGATGTTGGAACGTTCCCATCACCAGTTAAAAGTTGACCTAGTATCATGCTCAAACTCCGTATGTAGGACAGAATCCCTGCCATTGGTTTTTCTGGAAATAAAAACATCTATCAAGGCTGATTCCAAGTAGAATTAGTATTCGTAATTACTTTGATATTACCGGAAGAGTTAGTCAATCCTTTCACTGAGAATAAAATGTTTGACTTAGCACGTTACGCGAATTAAATACGGGATCGAATGTCCAAATTTAAACGGGTAATACTCATGGACGGTCGTGAGTACATAAATACTCGAGGAACTGAGCATTCTCGTGCATGTATGAATAAGGTGAGATAAAGTAGAAATCTTAATTAATACCCCTTTCGAAAGTCTGTCCAAAGTCGTCTAAAAAAATCCGAATATTTTGACGTACAATAACACACAAACAGACACAGTGAATTCAGATCCAAAATGAGAAAGTTGCAAAAATGGTTCTTAGTTTAAGATGACTTTTCAGCTATACTCAGTATCCAATCAATATTTATCAATATCAATGACTTCTGTCCGATTAAGGAGCTTTAAGCTGAATGAATTTTACGTACAATCTGATCTTTCTACTGTTTCAAAGGTAAATGATGAATTTATAAGAAACCCAACAGAGCTATGTGAGCTGCTTAGCAACACACATGCACAGGCATTCACTGGATGTGATTGGAATGAATATGTAGCTAGCAGTTTAAACACGTATGCACTAGCAGACCTGGAATTCACCTTGAATATTGTTGGAAATTCGATAAGACCATTAAAATTTTCTTTCGGAAGTAGTTGTGGTAGAATGCTGGCTAATCCAAATAAATATTGAAGTTCTGACGTGCCGATTATGTTTTCCAAAATATCTAATCTGCCCTTTGATTTATTTATTTTCTTTTGGCAATGATAAAGTACCTGGTCGTCGACAACTATCTCCTGATTAATCACAATTTCATATAATCTATAAATATGGTCTAAGTTATTAAGAAAGAGATCAGCACTCTTCTAGATGAGTAACGAATGATCATATTTTGGTAACATAAGTTCAGTTCCAAAATGTCATGAGTAACCTGTCATCTACAGCACTGTGATTATGTAACAACCAATAGGGATGAAATAAAACTAGTTGTTACTCCAAGTTCAACACTATGCTCTACCATTTAATTTTAAACGTCCGGTATGACAGAAAATACATTACTGGATCTCATCTATACTAAAGGACCGAACCCAGGTAAAGAAAATCGGGCGACAATTCAAACCTCAGGACATTACTAATGATGTTCGCCAAGACTCAGCAGTTAAAACCCTATTATTCACCATATATGATGAAGAAATATGCGGCTGATCTACACTTGGCAAAAGTAGTTTATGTGTTCCAGTCAAGCCCCAGTCTAAATATCAGTCGTATAGTATAGAATAATACGGATAAACTCGAAGATTCATGTGATGCAATATTTCTATATCTTAATAAGGAAACATTTGGACGCTTGTATTTTAATGCATTTACACTGCAGATTCACTTTCATATACACACATCGGAATTTGGACAGTGAAGAAGCATCTAGGATTTGCGAGTGAAATACTCAAAAAATATTTCATTCGTCAAACAGGTTAAATCGATCCTGGATCCATGAGATTCTCATCCTATAGGTGCATTTCGTGCTTCTCTAGACATCATTGGTGCAACTCCCTGAGTGTGTGGAGCGTTTTCCTTTTCGTGTCCGGAGTACGGCAGCATCTCTTCTGTATCTAACTATTGCTGTCCAGTTTGGGTCTAGTCGGTTTCGCTGGCTTTGAGCACTGTCGAGTTGTATCTCCTCAATTCTGTTGCTATTTAACTGGTCCTCACAGTCTCCCACATTGTTAGGATGTTTCATGTGCCTATAAGAGTTGCTGCTGTGGTTGTTAAAAGGGACATCAACCTCGTGATTTTCGAAGAATCTTGGATTTCACCATGAGGCATCATAATTCTTCTGAATGAAGATCCTTCAACTTGGTGGGCAGAGTTTAAATGTTTTGATTTGTTTATTCTGGTTATTGTATTTTTAGCAAGGTTGTTTTCTATGGGATGGGAGAGTTGACCCCACACTTAGCACTCCTCCTTTAAACGGGCTTGGGACCGGCAGCAACCCTAGTAGAGCCTTAGGAGGATTCAGAATAAAACGATCCTAATGAAAAATTCATCAAAAATAACTTTAGGCCTATTAGCGAAATTCGTAATGCTGTTTTACCCAGGGCATTTTCCATATGAGCAATAAGAAAGACCAGCTGTATGATTTCGGTGATGCAAATCTTTCGCTTGCACGGCCAGATCATAATTTATGGACGGACTAATCAGGTATAAGATACAAAGTCTCGAATTTTGATGTGGAATCGACTGATCTTTTTGGCCAAATAGCATTTTGGCATAATAGCTTATGTCATTTCGTGATTACAACCCTAGATCTAACTCTTTACCCTAACCGCAACTTAACATCATAATTCTAATTCCTCACACTGGTTTATAACCTCCATTTGGTCCTAGGCATTATGTGAAAACTCTCAAAATCACTTTGCCTTCGCTCAAAAGTCTCACCCCCTCTACTTCAAACCGATAGGTTTTGTGGGACAAATGTACTGACAGCATATTTGAAATCAGTTTAGGTACATGTGTCCAAAATACGTATGACAGTGAAAATTTCTAGATATATGAAGTGATAATCCATTAATGCAAGGAAGAAGTAAAAGTTTTTAGTAATGTTGCCTACAAAAAATTATTCATAGTTTCCTGAATATAGTTAGAAATAGGTGATCTCAGTGCATACATAGGACATTATTAAGTGGAACGAGTTACTGTTTAGTTAATTGCGAATTCGAAGTTAGTAGTACTTGATTGTACTATGGAACTGTGAAAGATTGAAACAAATAATAATGAGTCGAGTGAAATGAAATGGACTCAATTAACAACAATCTGATTGCGTAAATCTGGGAATTTAACATGGAATTGACAGCAACATTTAAACTTATGAAAATGAACAAATCAGAAGGCGGACTGGGATTTGGCGCGAATAATCAACTGGTAACGGTACTAATGATCATTACATGTGACGTTACTAATATGAGTTTGTTTTCCGTATTGCAGGGCAACAAAGAGTAAACGTACTAGAAGAATAAGAAACAAGTCTTACGCAAGCAGAACAATGAATAAACCCATTTTGTGATAAGCTTCCCGTTTTGTACTCGAACCGCGACTTTCAATTTTTAAATATATGACTGTTGTGCCAGTTCTCCGTGTTCTTACTTCACTGGCATTTACCGGTCCTGACAGTTGTGTTGTTTCAGACTGCTCGTGCTTGCAAGTAAACGCTAATAGTACGTGCTACAAACTGCCTATGTATTTGGGTTTTTCCTCGTGAGACACTCGCAGTATGTATTGTCTGCTTAGGATTGTGAATTCTGCTGACAGTCTTAAAACCGGAATTTATCGTCACAGTAATTAATCCATGGATATCAGCCCCGTCGATGGGGCTGACACCAGGTATCCGGGTAGGGCGTTCCTATCACTGACTACTCGATGAGAAAAAACGGTACCTCACTCTGGGTTTATTTGATTGTGGTTTTTTGGACCTTCTTGCTATGACCTCGTTGTTAAAGATACGGAATGCTAATCTAATTTCACCTCGCGTCCTATGGTACGATGAGGCCTAAAGGTTCATGTGTTCCAAGCATTCATCGTTGGGGGGGGGTTGGAAGACCCTTAACTTTGCTCTCTAGAGCTGAATACACCCGGGTGTCAGCATTTTCAATATGATATGGACTAGCTGCTTGGACGTTGTACTTTAAGTGTCGTCTTATATAGGTGAAGCGTAAAAGCTGAAACATCTCGTCAAAGCATTTGAATTCTCAGTTAAGTGACCATCGAAATCATTTGACGGTCGCTGCGCTGCACTCTACAGTTGCCTTTAAGTCATGGATTAGTGTTACTCTTGTCTTTTTGTTTCCTCACACGTGGGAGCAATGTACAGTTGGCGATATACTGGTAACTTGCTGGGTTCAATGTGCATTAGCATATTTCATAGAATTGATTAATAACCCCCTACCTTTGCACCATCTAACCAATTCGCCTTGGTCAGCTGAAAGATCATGTCCGTCCCAATAAATATTTACACACACAATGCTAGAAACTCCTGATTATGTTATGTATTTTTTGTATATGTAAGGCAAAATACTCATAAGCTGGACTTGTTTGCTTGTCAGAACACTTCCCAACGTCAAGCTAATCAGCTTAGTAGACTGGCGCCTGTTAGTCTTTGGCTACGATCACATATCGTCTTTTCCAATAGGTATCGACTACCGAATACAACGTTCGAGAGCTGGATATGAGTATCGTCTGATTGTGTAACAAAACTCACCAAAGGTCTTCAGTTACTATAACCGCTAATTACCGTAATACTCAGTTAATTGCTGAACGTTTTCATACAATACTCCTATATCTTCGTCTGATCTTATCAACCTACTCCTACAGTAGTTTGGCCAGCCGTTAGGGATGGATGTAACTTCATATCCCCCCGTAAATTTTTATTTGGTATTGAATGATTTTGTTGGTCGCCTTAACCTAATTCTCAATCACTTCTCGTGTATTGCTGTCTATCCCTTTGTCTCCTCCTAACAGTGTGGTAGGTGTTTAAATCAAATTTCGCTTCTCGGAACTAGGTAAGTAGTACTTACCTATGTCTGTTTGCCTCGTTATTGTAGTCCGCTTATGTCTTCTTGATTAATCTGTTTCACACACCATTGACTGATGCTTACATCGTTAATAACCATAATGGTATTTTAGAAAGAGCTGAAACTGACAGGCCCGGCAGACATTAACCATTCCCTTCTAAACAATTATATTCAATGCTAGCTGCTTGTTTAACAAATAAACTTAGTATTGGTTTGATACCAACCTTTGGTCTCCGTGCTCCTGAATTCATAATCAGAAGGCATCTACTTTCTCCCAGTCGTCCAATTAAGTAGATTACCTTGGATTCTTTAATGTTCAACCACAGATTAGAACTAATTGGTCACCTCCAAAAGGCCTCTGAATCTTTATATGAACCTGGTCAAATATTCTTACACAAGAAATTTGGTTATCGTGGCATTGTGCTACAGCGTTGGAAGGGAAAGCTGTTCGATCGTAATCTACAATCTACGAAATCAGTGTATGTTTACTTTACTGTTTGCTAATTTGATTTAGAGAACTGACGTCTCATGAATCTGCAAAGGGAGAAGAATCTGAAATAAATGTTTACCAAGTTCTAACGGATCAAAGCGACACTGAAATTTGTGTACGATGGTCTAGTTTTTGAGCTCTAGTTTCTAGAATTCTGCTTTAAAACATGGTATTACTTTTTTACCTGATGATAAACGAGCATTTAATGCCATATATATAGTGTCAGGTTTGTTTGAGTTACAAATTAACATCTACAGAAATGGACTACGTTTTCCATGATGATATCATACCTTACGTTCCGCAGGATGTTTCGCCAATTAGAAATCAATATTTTAGTGAATTCTTGCTTTCTACTCCAGACAAAGGTAATTCTTACAAGGTGTTAAAGTAATAATAGTTTTTAATGATTTGTCATTCGGCACTGATTTTTCTGTTCCTTTATTTTTTATGCATGCGCAACTCGTCTTATCTGTTTCAACTATCTAGAAAGTACTTGACTGTATCGATTACGAAATAATGCTGTTTCACGGAATATACAACTCCTACTATAATGAGAGTTAATTTGTATGACTTCTCTTAGATGCTTAATTTTTTAATACTTCAATGACTCTAGGGCACTAACCAGAGAGTAGAAAATGATCGACGGGTCACAGTTTTGCACACTAATCTTTCATTCTGTGGCGTCTTGTCACAAACTGGCCTCACTTCCTTTTCCACCAAGTCCAGGTATTGGTTGTGTGGAGGCCTTCTTCATAACATCAATGAAAAAACCAGTTAAAACATGGATACCCATGACGTACATTTGTTTCTAAAATCACAAATGACTTAATTAGCGCAGCAGTCCAAAGTTATCACAATCATTTGAACTAATCTGTACATACTAAATGTTGCTGTGTAATTCATCGGATAAGTAAGACGAATAACAGCCCTAACCGACATGAAAAAGACAGTTGTGCAAATATAAAGTAACTTTGGAAATGTTAAAAGATTTGTAAAAGCTCGTCGCAAAACTTAACTGACGCGTTTGTACAGTTCCTTGAGTAGACCTGTCAGCTTAAACAGACATTATACTCACTCAGTTTCATAAAGGTTTGTTTAATTATATCGGTTTGTCAGATCTTTCCCACAAATAGATTGCTACGATTAATGTTTTGTTAGTCCCTTAATATAGATTAAATCTTAAATTAGACGTTGCCACATGTACCCTATTTAGTCTCACTCATTTGAATCATAAATTGAGAAACGAAAGTAGGGTGAAGTCACTAAGTAAAAAAACTATTTCCAGCTAGAAAATTCTACTCGTAACCGTTGTGCATACTCTATATAGTCTGGGGTTTTTCAAGCCAATGAAGATACTTAACAACAAACTGTGCAGATCTCTGTGATCATTAAATAACTAAATAGAGATATTTACAATTTAATCCCCGATCTGAAACATGTTATGAAAGCCAAATTCATCTGCAACTGTTCTTCGATCAAACATTCGAAACAAATACATCCTTTTCAATTTCGAAAGTATATTGTCGTTGTATTAAAATGTAACAGGACCTAGTCGTATTTGGTTTTAAAAAAGCATCCACGTATAACTCAAACTTGATAACGACCATGGTTTCTGTTATATCTCTTTAAAGCCTAATTTTTATTACTTCTATCATTTTATTTGATTTAAACCATTCAGATTAATTTAAGTTCAGCAGAACTCGAATTCAACTTAAAATATTTAAAGATTATAAGCAGAGTTGGATAATAAATTGACTATACAAAAGCGAAACCGTCTCATTCTCTTACATTTTCAGTGTGTGATAAAATATTAAGCATAAAAGTACTTAGTATTTAAAGAAAATCTTACCTTCTAAAATTATTTATCTCTGTCCGATTGTTTAGTTTCATGAAATATTGTATCTGTTAAGATTATGAATGTTTGTACATATTTTCTTACAAAAGATCCACCATTTATTCCAACCGATCATTTAAGACGCTGGATTGAGGCGCGAAAGCAAAGTCTAGAAGTTACATCGATACATCGCGAAGTGACCGAAGGTATTCAAACGACAGTAATGCCTTTTTACATGGGCCGTCGAGTAACAGAGGTAAGTTATTAAATATAAATTTTATGTAGCCCAATGTATCCTCTATTGTTTGTTATAAACCAGTTTCTTTTTCTTTCAGGATAGAAAAGAAAATGATGTACGCTACGTAAGTTTGTTTTTCAAAACTATGCTGTCCCTTAATATTCAGTATTTAAAATATAAATTTTACGGTGAACAGCTCTCGAAAGATAAAAGATCAGAAAAAGCCAGTTTATTGTTAGGACACCTAGATAATTAAATTGATTAATCACTAAGCGGTAAGAGTTGTCACTTTTAGCTAGTACTTAGTGCTCATTGTATTCTATTGACCATGTGGCAATATGTTTATTATTTTAAGTGACTCAACATAGCGTATGCTAGAGTATTATGAAAGGTGGTTGGAGGTACTCGGTAGAGAAACCTACACGTAGATTTCATGTTAGGTTGCACTCGTCAGTAAGACGTATCTAATTTCAAGAGAATCCGACTATCTCCAAGGTCTAGACAAGCACAACAAAGTTCACCACTGAATAACCAATCAATCTAGTTATCTCAGTCCTGAAGAGGGTCATTCGCAGCCCGAATACCTAGGTGGTAATGTCTCATACTGCGAAACTGGCTTACATCATACGATAAGAACCAATTCCCTCAAGATCCTAGCTGTCTTGCCGACGAGTCTCAACTGGCACGAAATCTAGGCCCATGGTTCTCTGCTATCTCTGACGATTTTACACCGATATGTAAATGGTCCTCGAATCCCAGCGGAGCATGAATATGATCAGGAATTAGACTTTTTTTATTCACCCCTGTAATTTTTATGGGCAACTTTAGGTTAAATCATTTAAAACAAACTACACATCACAGCTTTTACCCCAATGTAATATGTAGTAACAAAAATTAAGTCCAGTATTTAAGTACGGGTTCGTGTAATCAGCCATGCACCACGTTGTTGGAGCCAGACAGATGTAACACATCAAGTAAAAGTGTTTGTTAGATCATCTCAGATGACTAAAATATGATAGTAATCGACTTAATGACAAACATTTACAGTGAAAATGGCATATAGGATGAATTTGTGTTTATTTGTTTCGAAATCTTTGATTACAGTTCAAAATGAAACAATTGTACATTAAGCTGATGGGTTGCACCCTAGATCATATTTTCTACACGTCATTGGAACGAAATTGGGATAAATGAAGTGCGATAAAGGCTCAGACTTCTTAATAGTATATGGCTACATCTTCAGAAAAGAGAAAGTAGTTAACAACAAGAATATTTGGACATGTATGGATTATTGTATCGCAAAGTGTAGGTCGCGCAGTATTACATGTGAATTCATTACAAAATGTTCGACGAAGCGAAGTCATTCCAGATAAAGCTAATATAAATGCTAAAAAGACAGTCAACAACAAAAGATTAAGTAGCTTCTTCGCCAAGTTCCCACATTAAATAATGCCTACAGTGTCAACCGGTTTGTCTTATGTAGTATCAACTCAACTTTCAGTTGTTTATCTGGTGAAACAGATAGTTCGGCGTGTACGAGATAAAAACCAGGCGCCCCTACCAAATCCAAGTCCCTTGATAAAGCTAAATTTACCCTCTGAGTATAGGGTGACAGAAAATAGAATTTCGACACGAATTGTTGGAACAATGTCCTTATTGGTATACTGATGGGATATTCAGGATCTCACCACTTTTATTTGGTTAGCTATACGCAATTAAAATCTGTCACGATCTTTCCATTGGTTTATGTTTTGAGTGACGGAAGTAGGGATTCGTATGCGCACATATTTAACAAACTAAACGAACTACATACGTCAGCTATCATGACTGTCTACGAATATTGAGCATTTCGGCATATATATCCAAATGCAATACAACAAAGTTGTCTCTCCCAACTGAGCCAGTGTATATTGCAAAAACTTCAACAATCAGCGAACGTTCAGCAACGTTGCATGATAGGTAAAAATTTTGCTCTGTAGACTCGTAATTTGGCAGTGTTAGATTTTATACCAGTCGAAGATGTCATACCTGGATTTGATAGTTTGATGAAATCACAATTCTCTATAGAGAACGAAAAAGAAGTCAGGGTTAACGAACTACTTTGAAGATACCTGTGCCAAGAGATCAGTAAAATATGGAGGCCGCGGCCAACCGATTTCCGAAGTCACTGTGGGACGTCTACACTTCCGTTGTTAAACTGTGTTACAAAAGTTTTATAATGTATGTAGCGTTTACATCTACATTCGATTGACATCCCTCCCTACTGATCAATCATATTTAGTCAGTTAATATATATCTATAATTATTATATTGTATTGATAAATCGTCCTTTCAGGCTGAGCTATCAGTGTGGGGAGTTTTTACTGCTTACTTACGCCTGTTAACCCGCGTTGCCTGTCGAAAAGTTTAATTGGTAGCTAATTTCGAGGTCAAAACGAGGTTGCGTAATAATCGAAAAGTAAAAAATGATAAAACCGAATGGATGAGATATAAATAACCACTTAAGGAATATGAGAAAGATGAATACATTTAAAAAAATCAGAATAAAGCCCTGTAAATAATCGACTGTGTATAAGAAATTAGGTGTATGAGTCGTGGTATAATGATAGCTTGCAGCCATAGCTCAGGATTGGAACGAACCGCTAATGCCTCTGCGGCGAAATCATCTATAACATATTGTAGCGTAGTTGGATTTGTGATTTAAGACTAATAATTTTTTAAATGTTCTAGCTTGTCAAGCGTAAATCTCAGCATTGTTTTAACTGAAAAAATGATAATCTGACTCACACAAATAACTAACAATCATATGCTACTTAGTGATAATAATAATAATAGCACCAATTCCGCATAATAAGTTCCACCTGTTCATCTAATTAATATTAAATGAAACCTAGTCAATTGACTACCATTATCACGGCTTTCAATAATATACAGAATAATAGTTCACTAGGTTTCACTGAATAGGACGAAGAACGATATTTTTAGGAATAAACATAATGAGAAATATCGAGCATCATCTTTCTACTCTTCTTTCGAAGATCTACATTTTTGGTCATTATGGCAAAAGAACAGAGTAGATAGAATAGAATTCACAACCTTAAGGATTTTTATTTTGGTTATTTGTTTACGAAAGGTCAGAAATACAACTTTTCCACTCATTGGGACATATATAGAATGGGTTCTATTCCCTCTTTCAATCCTCACTCTTAATAGTATGCGCCTTTTTGATAGTCGCCCTTATTAGTAACCACTATTACTGAGTCTAGTAGGGACATTAATTCATTTGTGCAGTACTCAAAACATCGAAATTGAATTCAGTTCTGTCAAAAGTTACCGACTGAACTACAAAACTAACACAGTAGAAAATAATACTTAGTGACTCAAAAAACCGCGTAAGTGACTGTAATTACGATGTAATCCAGTACTGTGTTGACACTGGTTACCGCGTTCTTTTAAATAATGACATTTGCATGTAAGTAACAAATGTTGCTCACTAAATACAACGGGCTAAAAATGTAATTATATCATGACTAACCCTAAATCGACTAACTACGCATGACGACTGTGTTCAGCAAAACAGACCCCAACGACTAGGAGCGTGATTTAATATATGAGAACCTTCGACCCATGCAGAGCTGAGATAATATGATTCTCAATTCGCGGACTGAATTTGTGGTCAACATGCGTACCGACGTTATCACGTGTTATTATTGCTGAAGTTTTATTGGTAGTTAAAATAAAGATATGCCTTTTTAGTCAGACAGACTACCTTATAAGGTTCGGATAATTACTTTTAAGAGTAACTACATCTTCAATGTTTGTGAGTCGACAATTGTTGACACGATTTCTTTAAATAACCTTACACAGAATAAAACTCAAAACTATCCAGCGTGTAGTCAGATACGGTTTCCTTAAAACCTATTTCTACGAACCGTCTCTGATGATTTGTTACTGAGCGACGGTAATCAGAATTACGTTTTTTATGGTCACAGAGGATGCGTAGAATCCTCAATATTTGTAGAAAATAGAAGGGTTAGTAAACGGGTAATGTTAATTATCTAGTATACTTTACATTCGTGAAGATAATCAGGTTGAATTAATCAAGCCACGATCTAATTAAAATACTATTCATGTACAAATTACATTTAATAATCTCGAAAACCACACTACACTAACATCATACGAAATGACATACTTCCTAATTTCTTTTATATTTGAAAGTGGCGCTATTTAATCCGATTAGAAAACCTCACGATGGACCGCGTTCAACTTCGTGAGCGCTTTTTGAAAATTTTCTCAATATCCGGAAACCTTGAGTCAATCGGAGGAAAAGGAGTTGTAGGGATGGTAAGTACGGTGCACTTTACACATACTCTGATTTACTTTTCCTTCAAATTTCAGCAACCTGTCCTTTCTCCAGAATGTCCAGTTTTTCAATATCACAGTCATATCCACTTCCCCGTGGAGTGGGCCCACATGTGGGGAACTTTTCGGTTTGAAAGACACAATGGTACTAGTTTAGATGTTAAAATACCATCTTTCCCGCTGTATGATCCCACGTCTTATTCAAACTCGAGTAACGAAAACCTTGGTTAATTATCCACAATGATCTTCGTACGAGCCCGGTTACCTGATTTTGACACTCTAAAGACAATTGTATGTCTGTTTAAACGACTGTAACACACACCAAAAAATTGTAACCATAATAAATAAAAAGTTTAGATTTCTATCGAAATTCCATTTATTTATACTTCACAAAATGCGTCCAAATGATTTGCTTCGCAATAAGAAAATGCACATCTATTCACTCATGAAATATCTTGCATAACTTTGAAACCAAGGAGTTATTTTTAAAATTTGCAAGGTAACACTATAAGGAAGAAAATATCTCAAAATAAACAGTTTAATGGAAAATCAAGGTGCTTTAGCAGCTTAAATTAATAAGTCTCAGGGAGAGCACGGATAAGGAAAAATCTCAGCTTGTTTGTAATTAGAAAGTCAATGAAAAACAAATAATTTGATTTCGGTATAGTTCTAATTCTTTAAACTCCTAGTTGGATATAACTACGAAAATCTAGACCTAAGGCGCTTATCTGGAGATTTTCTGGGATATACGTATATGGTGAGGTAGGATAATTTGTTTCTCTTTTGCATGGGGAAGAGTAAATTGTGCAGTATACCTCGCAAAATGATTACACTTAAGGAAGCTTGAAGTAAAGCGGTGGTATATAGATACGTATGTACTGACAAATAAATCATATTTACAAACAGGGTGGAATAAAAACAGTAACTAAGAAATCTTCAAAATGAAAGAAAAGGCAGTTTAAACACCATATAGGAGTGGCCGTAACGCGAATTCTAATCACAGTATTTTCCGACTTAAAATAAAGCATTTGTAATGAAAATGAACAGCGTAATTGTGACCGGAACGGTGGTTCGTGAATATGCAGGATGAAACGGCCAGTAGTTATGGTTCTTTGTTTCTATTTCCGTCGCTTTAATTATAATGGTGAAAAAGATAACTGGTAAGCACAATATATGTTCTGCTTATGAGTTTCATTTACTTGTCTATCCAGTTAGCAGTGTAAAATTACTTGGAACAAATGACTGCATGATATTGGATGATCACTTGTAGCTTCAGTGAATGATAATACAAAATTATGAATTTCATCATTTCGGAGACTCATGTACCAGTAAGTTTTTCTTTAATTCGTGTTGAAGAATTGTTTCGTACGTAGTCAGATTTCGGAATAATACGAGTTGGTTCGGTTGGTGTGCACGACGAATTGTTACGACTGTCATTATCACCAGTGCTAGTGGCAGTCATGTCTCCTATCCCAGAACTAACTGAATCCTCAGAATCATGAACCGAACCGGGAGAGGTCATTTTTTCAACTTGTTTGGGAAGCTTATGAGACTGATTGTCGCTAATACCTGCGCATGTAAAATTTTCAGTTGATGAAATCAACCCTGGTAACACAGACGATCCACTACCCAATTGATTTTCAGATGCAAGAGACACATTTATTGCAGCATCACTTACCATATTATCTACTGCTGTATTGTTATCAAGATTATCTTTTGTGTCTGAAAACGTTGGTAAGTCTTTGAGCATCCCATTATTGGCTACCGATGTAGAGCCATTTGTGTTAATGACTGTGAAGTTAATGGGTATAGGCGTTAAACCTACTGAATTGAATGCTCCACGTATCGACTGACCAGGGTTGTGAACCTGCCACCCTGTACCATTCATATGTGTGGGTAACTTATGCTGTATATGCACGGGTGGTTGCAACAGTATAGGATAAATCAAGTTATTTGTATGTTGTGGGAGATTCGGTACCGTTAAGCCACATCTACTATCTGACCTTAGATTATCCGATGACTCAGATACTGGGACGTTTTGGACTGTTTGATAACCGTAGCTTTGCATCGGATACACATTTTGTTGTAAACGCTGTAAAGAGTTCCGCGCACCAGAAGATTGTAACGATAACTGTGGTGCGGTGTAGTACACTGGCAATGGCACAGGGGTGGGGATATGAAAAGGATTAGTTTGAGATACAGGATTCTGAAAATAAGGTGTAGCATTCGAATGTTGTGCAACAGCTGACATGGCAGCTACTGCTTGGAGGTGATTCAAAAGTGCATTTGATGGTCGTTGTTGGTTAGCTCCAGTTGGACTGATGTTTGAAGAGTTGGTTAACAACTGGTTGGAGAAATACTGCGGTTGATGTCCATAGTGGTTTGGATTAATGCTATTACTGGTGCTTGTACTCATAGATGCTAAAGCAGCTGCTACAGCTAGATTGAAAGGTTGATTTGTGTTACTTGTTTGGGGTATTGAAAATGGGACAGGATATGACTCTATAACATTCCCTGTCTGACGAATGAAATAATTTGGCAAATGCGTTTGACGCCGTATTGGTACTACACTTGAATGTGTACTGTTCGCAGCTGGGAGATGTGGGCGCTGATGAAAGTCCCACGCGAGCGGTTGGTTTTTATTGTAATTTGTAGAATTCGTTTGATTTATAGACTGCGGAACTATCACGTGTGCAACACGAGAATATGGATTATACTGTTTTGTAGGCCGTTGAAATATCCAAGGAGCAGTATTACGACAAGGTGCTACTGAAGGACCCGCTGTGCCGGTACATTCTATATGAATATTGCTGCAGTTCTCGATACCGCATAGAGGTAACAATAATGGAATGGACATTTGATGAGACGCAGGTGCTATGCAAACATTCGTTGTTACCGGGGTTTGAATTAAAGTACTTGTTTGTAGAAGCTCTTTGCTTGTTTCAGAATTCATGTGTCCAGATCTTATAACGCCATCAGATTGGAATTTGTCTGAACCAGCAGTTCTCAACACAACTACGGATTGAAGACTGGTAGTAATTTGTTGATCAGGCAATTGTGGTTGGAGAGAAAAAGATCCAATCAACGAGGTTAAATTCTGAGACGGTGTAAAAGTCGGTAATCCACTCTCAGATTGCACATTTATTAAAGTATCAGGATTCGTAGACAGACCAGGATCTGAAATAAAAATGCGACACAAGCGATAAACAAGGTATACCTATTTTTAAGTCGGAAAATAGAAATCAACAGACAATGAGAGTGTAACAAGTTTCTTGATAAACAAGTTCTTAAATCAAACCTTAAATAAAAACACGATTTAATTCCGGTAACAAGGAACCTATTAGTTTTTCTAATAAGAAAAATACAATGTTCAGTAGTTCATAATTATGAAACAAAAAGCTGTTGAATACGCATACCGTCTAAAATACAAAAGTGATATCCACAAGCCAAATTAATCCTGCTGTATATTACACTAGTTGTCAAAACGGAAATAAATGAAACCGTGATCAAGTGGTGAAATGTCAAAGACAAACGAAATCAAATAACTCTAATTCCAACGTAAATAAAATAACTTACAGCCATCAATGCGGCGAACACCACGCATTCCCGCATTCATATCTTCAACACAAACAATCTTACTGCCAAGTAAGGCTTTTTCCACTTCTTCATGAGTGGTATTTAGAGCTGCTAAGCGAGGAGCTTTGACAAGCTTTTCGATTGGCAAAATTAGTCGATCAACAAGCATATTCAGGAACGTCTGATCCCGGCATAAGTTTTCTCGAGAAAAATAATGATGACTTAAAGAAAATAGCAAGATATCAATGCAATTAAAACATCATTTACGAAATTGGAATAATATCACCAAAATGCGAAGTATAGAAGCTTTCAATACAATTGGATTATCGTGATGAGCAGTTAAATCGAACTTACTCGAATTAGGAGGAGATACGATAACACAAGGTGGTAACATTGAAGTGTGTGGAAAACTTTACCCATGGTTACTATGTCGATGCGTTCTGTAAGATTTTACCTCTAGGAAGGTTGTTTATTATTAATTACCAAAACAGAAATTGTGTGTGGATGCTGTTAAATTGTATTTGATGGTTACAGTCGTCAGATTCCGAATTTTATTGTAGCACTGTGATTGATTTCCCTTGTGTAGATTAGCAAGAAACAAGTGTGCGCATATCCTATACTTTAACTTATACGTACCCAATGTGCTTTTTATGCATCTACTACTTTATTTATGGTCTGTTGAGAACAGAATAATTCATAATGGCAGTGCATATTCGTTATGGTTGTTGTATCGGCAACTGCAATATGAACCAGTTTAATTTTGAAGTAGGAGAATAAAACTATGTTAAGGGATTTTGTTGAGTTTGATGTATGACATCATGTGTGGAATAATTTGTTGAGCTGACGATGTTTCCGTTTTACGGCGTTCTTAATTCGTAGTTACCACCAGAACACTTTTCAGAAAACTTACATGTTTCTAATGATTATATTACCTTTAGAGCGTTTTAAAGTGAAAACATATATGTCTGTTAACGATACAACGTATGTTGCGGTATTTATGTCTTTAAGAAAGGCAAACTGACAGTAAGAAACTTACGTGAAATACAATATATAGCTATATTTTGATGCAAATAACAAGTAATTTTCTCGACTTGCTGTTTTGGGTGCATAAGCACACCCATTTGGAAGCAAACCCAACTCGACGCGACCAGATGGTTTGGGTTCTGGGAGTAATTTTTCAAGCTCTTCATAAGTAACAATTTGATAGTCTTTTTCCAGCACATCGGAAGGTGAAGTGCTCTGGACCTGGGAGCTGGAGAAGTCCATTTCACTAACTTGAGGGTCATTATAACCAGTAAACGACAATGGAAAGTATAATGACTTTTGATATGATGGTTGGTGGGCATACGCAGTAGCACCGCCAGGCAAAGGAGAGACAAGGCTGAGTCCTGGTTGAGGTAGTATGTACCCAGCTTGAGGCAGCATTATGGGTTGAATGCGGTTTGGATCCATAAACCTAAAAAGAATCCACTTAATGAAGTTTTGTTTTTAGATATATTTCCCGTTACAAATAACTGAATGTTTATACATAAGAGTGTAAAACGATCATCGTCTTTACTTAGACCCAGCCATATTTTACATAACGGAAAAACAGAAATATGGACCTAAAACTATGGAACTGTTTTCGGTAACATTTATTGTCTTATCTGTAAAGTATGGAGACTAGTGATAAATTCCGTACGACCTGATGAAAGTGTGCATCGACACGAACTGTAACACTTCAGATCAGAATAGTGAAAGTTAACAAAGTGATAGTCAAGTTTTAAAGAACTGCACAAAGAACCTCGTTAAGAAACCTACAGAACATGAACCCTGAGTTCAGTAAAACAAAACGTTTCGAGGCATGACAGAGAGGATCTCCAGTTGTTTAATACTATAACCAGGACGACTTACAATCAGTAAAAAACCCCTACCTTTCGGTACTCCTCAGTCTAAATGCAAAGACTTAGTGATCTGGCGTTATGTTGCCGTTTGACTCACACATATATTTCGCATTTAGCAATAAAATACATAGACGTGACCAGTGTTTACGTAAATAGTTATCTAATATTACTCCTACTGGAGAAAAATTATATTCAGAAATAGGTCGAAATTTTCAGGGTTGAATGAAAAATGATAGGACCAGAAGATCGTTGCAATCCTCACTTTTGGGAAGTTTCACATCCATAGAAACAACATTTGAGAACTACAGATACCCTGAATAGTGATTGTGATGGATAATTAGATGAAACCAGCCGATTCCGGAGTATGATAGACAAAAAAATAATCGACATATACGGCAAGTCGTTTACCCTAAAAAGACAGGAATAGTGGTGGTTGGACCCCACCCCGCATCAGTTCAGGCAACCGGGTGGCATTACATTTCAAGCTGCAACGCGTTGACTCAAATTTTGTCGATGAGCCGCCAGGAAACATCCATTCTTAACTCGCATTATGACCCTAAAATATCTGCTAATTTGTTCGGAGGACCGTTAGGCGTAATGCTCCGTTTCGATGTACAAATGTGACAAACACATACTAGGAGTATCTTTCATTGCTTCAGACACTAAGTACGAGTGTTAAAAATTAAATCAATAGCTATACGCACCTGCTAAGTCCTTAGCCACGTTAATAGTCAAAGAGACCGCATAATCGAGGCAATATTAAGAACGAGTATGAATACGTAGATACAGTGATAAATGCTAACAAACTAACCGGACAAAAAGTAGTCTCAAAAATTCAAATAACAATTCTGTCGTTGTCTGATGATTTAAATGAGTCATCTTTACGAAATAAGACTAGTCACCTTGACACCATTTGCGTAGATCCGTGTTTTTTAGTGTATAATAAATAATTTTAACGGACTTCCATAAATCAGGTCCCCCACAATACTTTAAACCGAAGACGTCAAAATATGACGAGAAGTAGCACTAAATTATATATATATATACTTCGAGTCGAACTTGACGGCCTGTTTCGGTGGTATAAAATGTAATTGTTTGTTGATGAGGCTGTTTTCATGCACACTGAACACGAAAGCAGATAGAATTACGAAACTGAAGAGACATTTTGACCTTAGTTCACAACTTACGGACCAAGGGGTTACAGTAATTCATAATTTGAAGACCACGGTTCACTGCATCTGTTTAAGCCACAAACTCAGGACAAAAGAGGATATTTGGATGAACTTCCACTGGGTTAGATTAACAATACATTTATCATTTTACACTATTATGGTGAGTTTCAATTCCGTTTGAAGTACGACTCAGGTTCCTAGGAAAGAGCAAAGAATCACAACCTGTGCTTTCCTGAATGTCCTTAGTCTGAGGGATTAGACTAATGAACTTTACAACAGATTGCAACGACATACGGTGTACAGAGTACTAAGAAAACGTCTCGGATCTGGCATCTGTTCATTTAAGAAAAAAACAGGACAACCATCGAATCCAAAAGCCATGGATGGACAAAGTGCCTGTGTTATTCATTTTATACTTTCAAGTAATCAACTTCAGTAGCTTACTACCAGAATCGGTGTCTGTACGTTTAATTAACTGATTTAACAAAAGACAGGACCATCGCAGGGGCACACTAGAAAAGGGATACCACACACAGCTCTCAAACCTTCAAGCAGAGATCTGAATATATTCATATGTTGTACAACTATGGAGGTTAGTAGGCAGCGGATGAGTTGTCAGTTGAATAATGTCCTTGCTTATACATCTAGTTGCTAAATATATCTTTTATTAGCAAAGACTTCTAACGCGTTCGGAGTAAATCCAAACGCAGTGCTAATTAGCGGCAGTATTATTAAGGTACTAGTGAGCCAATACACTCAGCCTTACAGCTCATAAGCCTCAAGTTTTTATATTATACGAACGAAGTACCATGTGAAAAAGACTTGTTGAGTGGTAAGATCCATTATTAGTAGACACATTAATCTGAGGGCCTACAGTGGATAGTGCTGAAAACATATCTCTAACATATACGTCAATGAAACTAAGAAATGGATTATGGACTTCCATATATATGGTATACTGAATTAAAATAATACCAACACCACAATACAAGTAGGTACCTCAAAACTTGATGCGCTGAACAAAACAAAATGCAGAGGTTACATTGACCATTGAAATCACTTCAGACTTTTTCGTTCAGGTCAAAAGCATGAATCGTTTTTTAGCCGTAAAAGGACTTCGAAAAATTGGTTTGATGGTTACTCACAGTAATAAAGTTTTACGAACTACGGATCCAATTGTATATATTCTACTCAGAATTTAAAATGATGTCTTAAATCAGGTCAATAGTGTTATTAGTAGGAGGTCAGGTGTATTATGAAATATAAACTACTTTGAACATTTAATCCCACTTTAAAATTTCCGACCTTTGTCGGCCTGCTGACGATCTAATTGAAAACAATGATGGTCAGATAATAATGAGGTCATTAATCTTATGAGAATCAGATGTTCCTCTACAAACTGTCTTCGTTCCTCATCCAGAATTATGTTCGGCGGGTCTAGACGTATGAATATCGATTAACTAAACCGAAGGTTTCAATAATGGTGCAAAATTTTGGGCTAAGACAAGCATAAATCATCGGAAGGTTGAGAATCATAGAACTGCTGCTGCAATATCAAGCTGGAAGCATCTATATCTTAAAATACTACTCACTGAAGTCGGAGTCGCTCACGAAATTTCATCGGGGTTATTAACGACATGAGCAGATTGCTATATGCTGTGGCAATGTCTGTGATTGAAAGGCGTACCTCAGTACATAGACCTCGTGAAGGCTCTTTACCCAAACACTACTAGTCGAGTCAGAGCTTATGAAGAACTGTCATCTGATTTTGCAACCTCAAGTGGTGTCCTGCAAGGCTGTCCACTTTCTCCATTTTTATTCAATTTCATCACAGACGTACTACATGAAATAATGCTCTCCTCGACTGAATTTTCGAGCATTGATCTTTTACCAGGAGGTCCACTTATCGACTTAGAATGCGCAGATGACATAGTCCTGTTTGATGAAGACACTGATAAAGTGCAGAGTCTTTTGGTAGCACTGAGCAACAATGCCAGAATGTTTGGAATGCGCTTCTCTCCTTCTAAATGCAATTTGTTGCTCCAGTACTAGCCTGCGTCAACACCTAGACTAAGGATCGAAAATGAAGTAGTCATATGCGTTGACAATTTCACTTATCTTGTAGTCTGACCAGCCCTAGTGGGTTGGTGTCTGACGAAATCTCAGCATGGATTGGAAAAGCTTGTCTGGCTTTTGCCAAATTACGTCACCTATGGCGAAGGCGAGATATCCGTCTATCAATAAAAGGACGGGTATGTTGCACGTCAGTTCATTCTATTTTACTTTATGGCTGCGAAACATGGCCATTAAGAGTAGAAGATATTCGTAAGCTACAAGTATTTGACCTTAGATTCCTTAGAAATATTGCCGGCATCTGCTGGGATCACCAGGTAGGTGATAGTGAGATTAGACGTAGGGTATTAGGGAATTATTATTAATGAATAAAGCCATTAATAATAATAATAATAGTAATGTTAAATCAGTTGATGAGGTTGTAAATCTTCATCGACTAAAACGGTTGGGCCGCGCATTACATATGCCTGAACATCGTTTACCACGACGCACAATGCTGACTGGTAATGGAGACGGATGTAAGAAAGTTAGGGGTGGTCAAACCAAAACGTGACATCAGTGCTTGAAGTCACTAACTCCTGGTCTGAGCCATATTGGTAGACTCAGACTACTTGGTTGTGGTCCGCATGAGGGTTACCTTAAGGCACGAACACTGTCCTCATCAATATTTGGAGACTGTTGGTGACATGGCTCAGAATCGATCACAATGACGTAAGTGTATACATTATTTATCTTCTCTTAAGCCATGAGACTACTTTATACATTTTTTCTACGATCTAATTCTTTTGCACTGCATCAAATCATTATACGAAATCTTTTTATATATTACTACCAATAAAGCGTCTGTTTCTATGAATTTGGTGTTCATCTTGTCGTGCTAATGAGGACCAATGCATATATGTGCCCGGTCCTACGTTGTGGCTGACTGCAGATGAATCGTTCGTTGACAAGGTAATAGCAATCATAGTTTGTGTACACAACCCACTGTTTATTTTTTCGACATGATATATCACTTCACCGATAAAAATTTTTGTTCTCTTGAAAAGTTTGAGAGGCGCGTCGGCCTGACAATCTGGTTGGAACAGCCTTTATGAGAAATAATTAGGTGACTTTGAGGTAATAATGCGTCAGCTAAGCGATTACACCATTGAAACCAACTGATGTGTATTAGAACTACTAAATAAACAACCTCAACAAGATTTCTCATATCAGTTTCGTTTTTATGGAGATGAAACATCAAAGAAATATCTACTTTGTTACTCATGTAGTATCAGGTATGATGGGAAAATACAGATAGGAGCTCTTGGCTACATGTATCACCAACGTCGCATCTGGCTGGTTTACCGTCAAGAAATGCCATGAACATATGACAAGTGGTTAAACACATCAATCTTATTGATGTTGAATCTCATCCTTCGGTGTGTTCTGTTACATGGATTGTCTTCTCGTCTGGTTTTCAACTGTTCTTCCAATGCCGTGCTTTTTATAAACTGGGACTCTTCACTCGGTCTGACGATTATTGCAACTTCAATGTCACGTTTCGCTATATACTACTTACAAACAATCATGTGAGTAGTGTCCATTACATTGCTATAATTTATATTGATTTTATTTGGTGTTGCTTCACTCTGATATTCTTCGTGTTGCATTTCGAAGATTTCTGAGCCAGACTAAGAGTGTTCCTTACGGTGGCGTGGTTTTATTCTGAGGGTTACTGAAGGCTTACAGTAACATCGAGATAATATGGATTCGACTTCACACATACATTGTAACGCTAAGCGAAGAAAACCTTGTTTGTTAATTTTATGTTTAGCGCGCTGTGATCAACAATAATGAATCTGGTAGTGCAAGTCGTTGACTAAATTAACTAGGGCAAAACTCACCGGCGGATTGCATGTTATCAACCACCTTAGTTCTGAGTTAGTTCAGAAACATTTCTTGGCCACATAGTATCTAAACAACAATTCTCCATAAATGTTTATCACAAAGACTCTGTATCGATCAAACTATCGGAGGCTTGCAAGATGTCGGTAAAAAGCTAGTTGTACAGATAAACAATGATCACTTAGGAAAAAGATATTATACGAAAACCAAAATGTTGGAACAACATAATCAGTAACTTTCAAGGTCACATCACAGATAGTGTAGTGAGTTTATTCCCCATCATGTTAAGTTCGTATTCGTTCACAGGCTTTCTAAGGGGTTGCCTAGCAAATGGATTGTTTAGAGTGGTAAATATCTTGTAATCCATCGATACGTAAGTGCAGCCACTGATATATGTTCATATATGTCTGTTCCTTAGAAAATTAAGTCAGAGGTTACGTCTGTCTTTCTATTTAGAAACGAAAGCCATTTCCTGAGCACTCTGTGCACCTATCACTTGATCGATTATTGACTTGATCAGTTCAACATTTTTCTTTCCAAAAAATCCGTCTGTTTTCTCAGATTTAGCTACAGAGGTTAAAGAAATCTACGTTATTTAACACTCTGGTTGTTGCTTCTGATATCCTGAGTTGACTTGTCTTGACTCGTTGTATAAGAAAAATGCTCAAAGGTAGGTAGGACACAGACAGTCCGTTGGTTAACATGTGGTGAACCAAACAATAAATGAACTCAAAAATAAAAACAGAGTTATTGAGTACAAACAGTAATGTTAATATATATCAGTCAAACGTTATGAACACGATAAAAATTGGTGACGTTACAAAATTCAGCAGGTTTGTGCGTGTTCAAGTTGAGTTTGGTACCAGGATCCACAATTATAGATGATTGGTAGTTCCAGTAAGATTGTTGTCCTTCCATTAATATAACCCAACGTAGAATATAATATAATTTGGCTGTAGTCTATAAATGTAGACAGTAGGTGATTTAGAGTTCAGTTATCAAAATAAAACGCAATTAAGAACAAAAGATATATGTATAGTAGTGTATTTGTCAGTCGGTAACAGCACGTGTCATGCTATGAGTGTAACACCATGGAAGTGTGTTCGAAGTCATACACTTAGACAAAACGTACAATCGTTTAATGATAAATGTACAGGCAGTGAAAAATACGGAGTAAATACAAATAACATCAAAAACTATTTACAAAATAAATTTGTCATGACTATCTCCACAAACATATTATATCAAGACCACACATTGTTCTGTGTTGTCTGTGAACTTAACTTCGTAGATCATGGCACCAAATCGTCTTATAGCTACAATAACTTCCTAGACTGACTCCTAATGTCGAAATCTTGTATACATCGGTGACTTTTCCAGACATTGATTTTCATTGCTGCCAATCCTCTGTCCGCCCTCTAGTTCAGGTTTCTGTGAAAACAGAATCCAACGAAAAAGGAATGTACATACCAAAATCCTCCTCACTTGTGATGATACCTGTGAGAGAGGCTGGACTCAAGGTTGTTCCTAGTACTCTTCACAAATTTCGGATGGCCTCTTTCGTGAAGGACTCACAGTGGACGTTGAACACTTGGGGAATTTCATTAAAGGTCAGTGCGAATACGTCTAATCGGGACTACATGGATTGGCTATGCAGACAGCCACTTCGCATATCTTCTCACACTTTATGTTAAATATATGGTTTCATTACCGCCTGGAATCTATTCTTTGTGAAACACACACGTCTAACTGTCTCAATGAGACGAGACGGTATAAACAATGATATGGCTTTGACAAAAGATCTTACAGAATAAATAGTAATATTATGGAAGTTTTGTAGTATTGTATTATGACTACTATCTTAGTGCCATATACAGGTACACTAACACTGACCCGGACCTTAATCCTTTAACCCTTTATTATATAACAACGTCATCAATCCTCAAAGACCGTCCCAGATACATGTATGGTTCAAAACGTGGCATGTAGCTGATCTACAACTTCTCCGTACCAATGTAAAAATGTAAGATTAAATTTCGAAAAGTATAGAGT